GGGGCCTGGTGGGTCGCCACGGCGCCACAGCCTGCCCTGCCGAGCCTCAGGCACCTCCCTTGTTCGTGCAAATAAAGTAGTCTTTGCAGGAACTGGCTCTTGGGGCTTTGAAAGAACTGTGAGCTGTGGTGTGATGGAGTGCGGCCGAGTTCCCGCAGGTGTCCCGAGGACGGCCCGCAGCGCCTCCCCAGGGCAGAGCGGGGGAGCCTGCGGCCTCTCCTGCGTGGCTGTGCTGCCTCTGCCCACCTGCACCCCCATCAGGGTCAGGGTCTGTTTGCATCCTGCGGGCTTGTCAGCTTAGCCTTTGTTCTTGGGGGCCCGGCCCTGACCGGCCCTGACCCCTCTGCAGAGCGACCCCCACCCCAGCCCAGGCGAGCTGCACAGCTCAGCCTCCCTGGGCCCAGCAGCCGGCTATGAGGGCCACAGAGGCCCTTTCATGGAATAGAGGTCCCGCGGGGCCGGGGGAGTCAGAAATAGCCACTGTCTTGCCACCCCCTAGGAGTCCCTGATGGGGAGACATAGGCAGTGTTTGCAGCCTCCTGGGAGATTCTGAACCCAGAGGGCTGGCCTTGGGGTGTGGCCATGGGCACACCCCAGCTCACCCCCACTTAGGTCACCCACCCAGGTCTGTACACCCCAGGCCACTCCAGCCTTTGCACCCTGGGGACGAGGCTGCACCCCTCCCATCCTGGCCTGCTTTGCAGGGTCATTTTCTTTGCTCCCTCATTTCAGGCCGGATCCTAGCCAAGGCAGGCTCCTGGAGGCACAGTGTCTGCGCTGAGCCCGGCTCCGCCCCAGGGCCCTGTCCGCCCAGCCAGGCCCCGCCCGGGTAGTTCCGGGTGAGGCGGGTGCAGGCTGTTACAGATGGGGTGTCTTCTCTCCCCCTCACTTTTCTCTGTAACTCATGTAAACCCGGATGTCCGCACTGGTCACAGTTGAGAGGTTCACTCTCGGGCAGTGTGTGGGGTGGGGACCCTACCAACGCTTACACAGCCATGTCTGAGGGCACGCAGGGCAGTGTGACCTCGCTTCCCCGTGGGAGTCGGCAGGCCAGCACACAGCCACCGGCCAGGAGGGTGCTCGCCCCCTCTCGGGTGGCCTCTCTGCCAGGACCATCCCTATTGCTTTGCCTACACCTGTCAGGATGCAGCCAGAGCTGCTGATGAAGGGGGGAACCCCGCCATCACCCCAGAAGCCACGTGAGCTCTCAGGAGCAAGGCAGAGGGGACCGGCCTGAGGGGTGTGCCACGGGCCACACTGCCCCCGCCCACCAGCCACGCCGCAGCCAGGCAGGATTTCCAGTCCACAGCAGACAGGGAGACGCTGGGCCAATGTGAAGGGATGGGACGCGAGCTCATAGTGCCGGGTGCTTAGACAGCAGCAGCTGGTGAGCCCGGGAGAGGGGAGGAGGAGGGCCCTGCTTCCTGCCTCTTGGCACAGTCCTCTTCGCTTGGCAAAGTGGGCATCAGAGGTGAGGCGGAGAGGCCCGGCCAGACGAGGGCTGGGAAGGCCTCAAGAACCTGGAGGCCAGAGGGAGCCCCGGAAGAGGTCACTGCGAGGGAAACGGGGTTTGCAGGCATCCCTGAGTTTAGGGAGAGGGCAAGGGAGGGGGCAGCGCACCCCGTGGCCGGGAGCAGATGTTCCGGGCCAGCAGCTCCCGTGTGGCCATGCGGGTCGCACCCCTCTTCTGCAGGGAGGACCACACCTGTGTTGCCACCTGGGCATATGGGGCCAAGCATTCTGCGACAGAGCCTTCACTGTGGGATAAGGAAGGCTCGTGAAGGCCACCTGGCAGGCCTCGCAGGAACCAGAGGACACTCACTTGAAACTCGGGCCAAGGGACGGGGCAGTGCCAGCACTTCACACGCTCCATCACTCAGGCCTTCATTAGCATCCTCCCCGGACAGATGAGGAGACTGAGGTCCCGAAAGCTAACTCGCCCGGGGTCTTGTAGCTGGTAGGACACGGCTCAGGCAGTGAATGGCACCCCGGCCAGTGACCGAGACTCCAGATCCCAGGAGCCTCTTGTGCCTGGACAACAGCCTTGGATGGGCTGTCTGGTGTCCCTGAATGAGGGCAGGCAGGCTCCCAGCGGGCAGTGCCAGGAACCACTCACCCAGCACCCGTATTCTTGCCTCTGTGCACTGGCTCCTGCTGCACCCTCCTGGGACTTGCTCGCCCCCGTCCGCATGGCCCCATGCTCCTGCTCTGAGACCCAGCTCTGAGGTCACCTGCTGGGAGAATCCTCTAGGGCCCTGCAGGCAGAGGCCGAGTCTGCTCGGTGCCCCTCAGCATGGCATTGCCAGTGGCATGGAGCCTCCCCCCTCCCCCACCACACACACACAGGACTGTGAGCACAGAGCCCACCGCAGCAAGAGGGCACTGACCCGTCCCCACCCCAGCGTGGCAGCAGGTGCTCGAGTCTGCTGGGCATGGCCTCTGGGTCCCTTTCTCAGACACGGTGGGGGGTCGGCAAGTCGGGCAGCTGGTGGGGGGGCTTCTCTGCGGATCAGCCCCGTGGGTGCCGCACCCCACCCATCCACGGTCCGCAGTTCTTCTGAAGCCCCAGGATCCACTCCTGCTTTCTCGTTGCCGTGGGGGTGGCCACGGGGTCAGACAGGCTTTCTCTTGGCTACCTCTCTCAGCTCCTGGGAAAAGATCCAGTTCCAGATCGTCCGCGCACTTTCCTCCAGCATTGCTGGCAGGATACTTTGTTCAACATCTGCAAAAGGATCGAAAGGCGCTCTCACCTAAAGCCAGTCGGGTGACGCCGGACTCGTAGTGAGCTTGGGAAAGGAGGAGTCTCAGCACCCGGCCTCGTCCCCGGTTCAGGAAGACCTGCCTGCCCTGAGCTCTGCAGCGGCCTCATAAACACGTTTAAATCTAGACCCTGGGCTCTTGTGGATTGTCCTACGGTGTTTTAAAAACACAGCCTTCGGTGTTACCATTGTATAAATGTGACGATCAGCTTCGAGGACAGTTTCGCACTCTGTGTACACAGGCCAAACACACAACTGCCGAGAGCCCGACGCCCTGGACTCGGCAGAGGGAGTAGCTGCTTGTGAGTTGGGGTGGGGGGGCCTTACGCTTTACAAAAAGGTGTTAACTTTACCTAAGTGTTCAGCTTTACCTAAAAAAAAGGATTAAAAAGCCTTTCTCTGGTATTTGCTATATTATTTTAATGTTTATGGTTAATAAAAGGTAAAGAAACATGAACAATTTTAAAAACACTAAGGTTTGGTATTCTTCAACTGTTCTTCCAGGAATCGAAATTGTGTTCCCAAATTGGCAAAGTAACCTATTCGACTCCCTGGTGCGGTAGAGAGTGGGAAGCTGAGAGCCCTGCCCTACACAGCCCTGCCTCACTGGAGGCCCTGCCTCACTGGAGGCCCTGCCTGTGCGCCCACCCTACCCGGGAGCCTCAGCTTTCCTTACTGACTCACACCCTCTCAGCACCTGCTTCTTCCACCGACTCCTCAAGAAACGCCGCCTTTGCCTTCAAAATCCAACTCGCTCTTCCACGCAGCTTTCCTGACTCTCTGGGGCCAGGGTGGTGCACTTAGTCTGCCACTGTTCAGCAGCCTGTGGGTCCACCATTTTTAGAGTTGAAGGAGGGTGAAGAAGAGGAAGAGGAGAGTGAGGAGGGAAGGGGAGGAGGGAGAGGAGAAGAAAAGAATAGCCGGCCGTGCGTTGCCCGCCAAGCCTGAAATACTGTCTAGCCTTTCAGCAAGAACGTTTGCCGAGAGACCAGCACATGGCAAAATGGTCACGGTGCTGGACTCCCATGTAGTCAGCCACGGTCCTAGACCTGGACCCGGCAGCTTAAAACTCACGCTGCGTCCGTGTGTGTGTGGGAAGAGAATGGAAGACAAGGGTTGTGGCATGGCTATCCTCCCAGAAGGTGATTTCTTGCTTTCTGTCTCTCTGTCTCTCCGGTGAGCACATATGCCCTACAGCAAAAATCTCTCTTGGGAAAAAAAAAAAAAATTTGCTGAGCCTTGCTGTAGAAATGTCCATCTCTCAACAAAAAATTGTGAAGCCTATCAAAGGCAATTGAAAAAAGCAGAGCAATAAAGCATCATAAGAGTCAGACTCAGATGTGACACAGACTTTGTAACAATCAGAACAGAAATCTGAAACGACAACTGTGTTAATGTATGTTAGAGCGCTGATGGAAGAGGAAGGCAGCACATATGATCAGATCAGAAGTTCCAGAAGAGAACTGAGAACTATACGAACTAAATGGAAATGCTAGAAATGGAAACCAGTAGCAAAGACGGAGATTACCCCTGACCGACTCATCGATCGACTGAACATGACCAAGGAGAGAATGCCCGAGCTCGAAGACTGGCCAATAGCAATACCCAGGCTGAAATGCAAGGAGGAAAAAGAGTGTTTGTGAGCTATGGGCAATGTAGAACATCTAACATACACATAATTGGAGACTGAGAAGGAGAAGAAAGAGAACATGGGACAAAAATATTTAAATAAATAATCGCTGCGAGTTTTCCAAAATTAGTTACTGACGGCAAATGATAGAGAAAGGCAGAGGGACAGACGGTGGCACAGCAAAATCTGTGATAATGTGCTGTGTGTTTAGACCATATTTAAAAGGGTGACAACCATTGCACAAAGGATGAGAAGAAAGAACTCAGAACATACTACTAAAAGGT